ATAAAGATAAATATAAACTCTAAATAAAATAAACATAATTTATTTAAATAATCATAAAAGCAGTGTAAAATAAAGTAATTTAAATTCTGTTTGGTGTTGCTGACAAAATATTACAATTTTACAGGATACTCTTGCCAATTTAGAACGTCAAATCTATGCATTTGAAGGTAGTTATTTGGAAGACACACAACTATATGGTAATATAATACGTGGTTGGGACAGATATTTAGCCAGCAATAAAAACACTAATAGTAAAGCAGACAAACGGAATAGAAAATTCAAAGAAGCTGAAAGGCTATTCTCAAAATCTTCAATCACCTCTATGGCTGTTAGTAATCAACTTATTTCATTCAGTTACACCAAGACAAAAGGAATAAATTTATTTTGTTGCTCAGATTTCATTCCAATTAAATTCCAGTCAGCCTTGTGTTTGAATAAAAGCATACATATAGTATTAAAAATAGCTATTTGCGATATGTTTGTTTACTCTGCATTTTGCGAAAATAATAGAACAGAATTAAAGAAATGAAATAAAATGAAATGAAGAAAATAGAATTTTAATAAACTAGAAAAATCACACTTTTGCAGGCTGTCAGTGGACTCGTTGAGAATACCCAGGAAAAAAGTAAGGACCTCAATGGATATTCCTGAGATAGTTAATTCTTTAAAGAAAAAAAAGAGTACAACTTATTTTTCACCCTATCATCCCTTCCAACTTTTCTTTCTGCCCTGTCCTTGACAATAATTCTTTTTTAGTTTTTAAGTTATCCTTGATTGTATTTCTTTTTCTTTTCAATGTATCGATCACACTGTCTTCCAAAAGAACGTAATAAATGTGGATTGTTGCGAAGCACAGTTGATTGAATTAACGAAACAAAACAAAAAATTCGAAAGATATTCATTATTGCTTCGGATTTTTGTGAAGCAATTTTTGTTCTTTTCTGTATTTAAGTTATAAATAAATTTTTATTTATTTATCAGTCTATTTTTATGATAATTCATTTTGAATCTTTGAGGTTAACATAGTATTTATATATTAATTTTCTCTGTCTGTCTGCTTTCATCTATATTCATCTTTTTTCTGTACCTAATTATGAATAAATTCAATATCTATTTCTCTTACATGTTTCAAAGTTTTATAAGAAGTTATTCCTCAATTTAAACATTCTATCTGCTTTATTCTATGTGTATGTCTGTAGTATATTTGCAATTTGCTTTTTTTGTATGTGTTGAAAATGTAGACAACATTAGCTTGGCACTGTTACTTTATTTTCTACATTAATCTTTTCTCTGTATCTGAGCTCTAAAAAAATTCATGTTTTCTGTGTTAATGCAGGTATAACAGAAATATTTCTTTTATATTCTCAATATAAGATAATTGCACTTAAAATAATCATACATCAATTAAATTAATTAAAATGTGGTAAAGTAACAATAATTTATATCTAAAACATTTTGTGATTTTCACGTAATTCTTTTATCTTCACTGATATTATTTCAATACATTTGCTTCTAGACAGTCTTTCATTAAAGTGGCAGAAAACTATAGAACATAAAGTTATAGATTTTGATCGATTAAACAATTTTACAAATTTTAATCCTAACAATCTCCGTAATCGTTTAATCGATCAAGTAAAGGTACATTCTTATTAAATGACAAGCGGTTAAACAATCCTTGACCGATTAATTGTCTGATTGAACTGCATCCGGGTGAATCGAACAAATCATCGATCGAGCAATCGACTAATTGATTTTTCAGTCAGTCGATCGAGCCTCGTGCCGATCGAGGATCGCGGTTTTCCCATTCTAAACTTGATTCCAGTTGACCGGTACAGCGAATCGGAGTCGCAGATCGGCAACAGCGGTAGCGAGGACAATTGCAGCCTCGTTAATTCTCAGGGAACAACCGCCAATAGTGGTAGCAGCAACGGTAATAAGGAGTCGTCTGGGAAAAACCACTCTGTAACTGGCCAGTATAGCCAAAACGGATCTCTTGCTTCTTCCGCCGAGATTTCTGGACAGTTCGCAAATGGGCATGCGAGCAATGGCAACCTGGACCATGTTTCCTTGAAGGAGAACACTGGGAAAGAACCTTCGAAAAATAAATCTGGGAACAGCGCGAAAAAGAACAGCAATAAGAGATCTAGAAATAGGTAGAACAACCTTACTGTGATGTCCTCTACGAATGGTTCAGTACCTATGGGTAAACAGTGGAACATTTCTTTTCTTTCTTTTGAGTCCATTCTGTCAGTGTACAAGATCTCACTCTTTTTTACAATAAATGCACCACAAACATTGAATTTCTATGGAAGAATGAATGTTATAGGCTTCTTGTTAGCAATAAGAGTGTTAGAATTAGTTAAGGGATGAAAGTTTGGGTGAATGAGAATGCTGATTATTTTACCATCAAGGTAGAACTTTTCTTTATCTTTGGAAAGAATAAGAGATAAATTGTAAACCAATGAATGTAGTATCATACAAAGCTAAATTTCTGATCTAGGGATGAAAATGAATCAAATATTAAGAAATTGAAGATTTCTTGCATTACTCAGTTCGTTGAACAGTATCTATTAGGTTTAAGATAGTTGAGGTGGAATTGGAATCTTATTTCAGTTTCTATTCTCTGTAATTTTCCTTTGTTTCATAACAAATGCAAACTCTGTTACCAAGAATTAGTATTAACCACTTTTTGTGGTTGCTCTGTTTTTAAGTTACTGGTTGAGAGATACTAATTATGGTACTAATTAGTTTTCAGTTCCAATTTTAATAACATAATAGTTTGTTTTTGATATGTTTATGTTTATGATTAATTAGCATTCCGGTACTTTTATCATATAAGATTTTCTATTTCATTTTACTGTACATATGAAGGATACAATGTCAAGGTTGTAGCATAGTATAAATAAAACTAATAATTGCACAAGGAAATGAAGTTATATAATTTGAGTATCTTTTGTAATTATATTACATTAACTTGAAGCATTAAATAAGAAACTAAGTTACATAGAATAGCATAGATGAAACATTGTTAGTTTTCCTTTTTCTATGTCAATTTTATTTTTCATAATAATTTTTATAATATAAGTTCGTCAATTCTTCGTAAACTACGTTAATAAAGAACTCGAAAATGATTGAATCATAGATACTGAAAATTTTTATTTCATTCTGTTTTCTTTTCTGAAAGAATAATCGGAAACAATTTTAATAAATGTATACACGTTCGTTTACAAACTATACAACTATTTATTTCTATTAATTGATTAATTAATTAGTCACATACAATTTTCATACATTCATTTTCATAATGTTAGTAATAAAAAACGTCGAAATATAAAGAACATTTTTTGTTCCTTAAATCGCTTAAAAACATTTATTTATTTATTACTACTTTTAAACTTTTATACAGTTGTAAATAGCAGCAATATGTCAATAATTATATGAAGTGTAAGATTAAATATTAAACGAAGAACGCGGACAAATTCATAAGAAATTTATGAAAATCAAATTTATTTTTATATTTTACAATGTACATTAATTACATGAAAAATTTCACTATTTCACTGTTTCTTTGAAATTCTCGTAAATTAAATAAAAAAAAGTACTTATTATTCAAAGAGGAAAAGAGAAAGTTATGTTTAATATTCATTTTAAAAATGTAAAATATGTATGGGTGCAGTGTACATATACATTAAAACTAAAAGAAAATATAATTGTATAATTTATTTATCAAATTAGCAAATTTTCAAAAATATAATATTCCATGTATCATATAATAACAATGTATAATAGTGATGGCGCCATTTTTTGCATTTCATGAAACGTAAGAGAAATTAGACCAAATCTTATTTGCAAAAGAATTCCAACGTTTCTTCTCTTTTCAAAGATTGATCGATTTATCTTTAATGGGGATTAGAAATTATCGTTGCCGGCAGAAATGCGTTCAAATTACCGTCTTCCTTCGACTTCTTCGGAGGTTCATTCCTCGTCACAACAGCGTTGAAACCATTGTGGTCATCAGCCGTGTAGGTCACAGTTCGAATCGATCCGTCTGCCTCGACCACGGAATATTCGCCCTTCACGGTATCACCGTCCCTTTCTTCCCATGCTGACTTCGAATCGCCTGTGTATCCGTCCAGAACGCCATAATTGAACGAATACCTTGGATAGGACTGTAGAAAAATACAATGTTGGTAAAATCAGGGTTCCTTCGATAAATTATAATAACTGTATGATATTGAATAACTAAGACGTAGTTAATTATGAAAGTCTACATACAAACATCTAATATTATTTGCATAAACATTTGTCTTATTGACAATTCTTGAAATACAAAACTGCTTGTAATTTGAAAATAGAATTAAACAAGCCGACTTCATTATTTTTATGCTTTTAATTCACCCCTTGAAGTTATGTGCCTACTGCGTATAAAGCTACAGAACAATTCATCGAATATTACCGTATATTCTGCGTCTTTCTCGTTCTTCGTGTCAGTCGCGACTACTGCAGAGGCTGTTTTAAAAATCGGCGGAGCAATGTAGACCAACGATGAGGTCTTCGGTAACAGTCTGTACGAAATTGGAGTAGAAACTTTCACGTAAGTCGGAAGTACCGGTTCTACTTTACTTTCGATAGATTTGAGGGCGCACGCCACTGGTACTGCAGCGCCACTCGCGGAGATTGCATCGATTGGCGCGCAAGGAAATCTTCTGGAAACAAAACGTTCGCTTATACAGGGTGGGTACTTAATTACGCTCGTCTAAACTATTTAAGATATTTTTAAATATACGAGAAGATACTATTTGCAAAAGTGACACGACATCAACGGGAGTATAATATACTCTGATATATCAGTAATATTTTTTTAATAGGAAAAAACGTATTAAAAGTTTCGAAGTTATCTTCATTTTTTGTAAATAAAATGTCATAATTTTTTATTCATGGTGCAATTACTTCAATGGTCTATAATATAGGATGATTTGTAAATATTGTTACGGTACAAAGTTGTGGTAGAATAAATTTTCATCTGCATATTTTTATAAGGAACTTTCTTTTAGTATTTATTTATTAGCATTTATTAGCAACAAGGACAAAGTTTATTTAGACAAATAGAATGTAAAATAGTTGTAGAGTATTGAAAAGCTTCTTTAAGGTTTGCCTATCGAAATATTTTTCCCATAATAACCTAAAATTAGAAATATAAATGTATGCAATATTTTCTATTTTCTATTTTACATTAATGACAGTGAATACACTATTACTATTATTAATTACAATCGTTACGAATGTTACATGTGCACATAATATTAAATTTATTTACTTTCAATTTATTAGATATATATTTCATAATTCAGTGAAATTTTTAGCAATAGTGTCACTTAATGACAATTATTAATGTTTTGTAAATTGTGATAAAAGTTGTACGGTCTTACTGTTGAAGAACACCAGCGATAGTTAGCTTCAAAAAACAGCACAAAATCACTATCTGTAAGAAAAAGAAATTTATATTTGTACCATCTGTATCATAAAACGGAGAAATACTCGGGGAATAAATAATGTACTAAATTTTTTTCTAATGATTTTTTATACATATAATTAATGATAATATTAATTTGTACTGTGTTTTAATATCACTACTAATCAAATAAATGAATTCAAGTAAAAAGACAAACCTGACAACAAACATTAGAAAAGCTGAAACGTTTCAAAACACCTAGTATCAAGAGTTTATCTGAGGGGAGGATGGTAACGAAGAAAATCGATTTTCCCTTTTCTGCAAATTCGAGAAGCTTAAACAATTAACTATATATCCTGAAAACATCATATTTGCAATATAAACATTATATCTCTGACTAGTATACCATTCAAATTGGTCCTTAAATCGTACAATCTTCATAGGTAAGCGACAAACTAGTGTTCAAGCGTGTTAAATCTACAAAAACGGTTATTGAGTGTGAAGTAGTCTCTGCACATACATAGAAGTCGCAATAATCGAACGATCAAGCGCGCATGCGTGCACCAGTTCACGTTGCACAACACTTCTGCTTGTTCGCTGTTAAGGAGTGCCGCTATGTAAACTCTTATAACCAACATACACGTGTGCGTAGGTGCTCCATTCAGCGGTTCTCGAGCGTAATTCCTAAAAAAGCAACCTAAATTGGCAACCTTCGACGCGATTAACACGCTTAATGTTTTCGATAAATTGGTAAAAAGGTCCTACGTGCTTCTCTGTCGTGGGAAAAGATTAAATGCGTTCGATGGAACGCCAGAATCGATATTTACGTTTCTTACTAATTGCGAACCGCTATGTTAAGCAACCGCACTTTCAATCGGCAACCGCAAATGGAGACACGAAATAAAAAGTGATTGGTATGTTTAGAAGTTTATTAGATCCTAGGATCACAGAAATGTTGCTTTGTAACGCAAAGGACTATTTCGATATTAGTGCAACAACGGTATTACAATTAGCGTAATTCTATAAATATCGTTACGCTTTCTTTTTTGATCAGAATTTAACGAATTCTTAAATAAATTTAAAATGAACTTAAGTTAAGCTTGAAATTTTTTATTGGATAATTGGCAGCGAAAATACATACATACATATGTGTTCTTCCTTTTTAAATTGAGTGTGCTTGAATTTTTAGAAAAAACAGCAAATTAAATTCTTAAAATGCTAACGTTGATTTGTATTCAATTTGTAAAATAAAACTTTTTGACTTTGTTTTATGATAAAAATTAATTGATATATGACTAAGTATGAAAACAGAAACATTGAGAAATATAATTTTTTATTATTGTAAAGTTGACATTCTATTTCTTAAAACTGTTTCATTATACTCTATATTATTATTTCAGTAAATAATGCTATATGTGTATAATAAATACAAATGAAAATTAATTTAGAGACAAAACTAAATATTTCTTTACTTTCTCTCTTCTGAATTTCTGCTTGTAAGTTTTATATACAATTTCTTGCACCAGTCTAATACTAACATTTCAGTGAGATGTACATAAACATTAATTATATATAAGCAACTACATTCCGTAATTTTATAACATTCCAAATTAGTTCAGCTTTATTAAAAAAGAATTGCTTCAAACTTTGAAAATAATTTGCGTGAACTATTTAAAATGAAACTTTAAAAAATGTACAGCAAGAAGTTATAATTGCAATAAATATATATCTTTATTGTTTCAACTTTTTTTATAAACAATTATTTGTGTATTTTTATATTCTACCGAATTATTTTTATATTATTATAAATAAATTCCAATTTCTTTTTTAATTCTTTATTTTTCAAAACATATTACGAATTTCTGCGTACATTCTAATATATTAAATTTCATCTCACTAACCTTATCAGTGACACTTTTAGAAAACTGCGACTGCATGTTTCGAATACTATAAAAACCACAGTTGATCAAATTTTCACTAGGGGGACACTTCTTTAGAGTCCTTTCTGACTTATTGAAGATTGTTAATAATAAATCACATTTTCTTTTCAAACAAAAAGTATCCTTCCTAATTTATTAACTATTTACACGGAGCTTAAGAAGAGCTTTTGCAAATAGTTATATAAGTTAAGGCAATTGAATGTACAATTTGAAGGAAATTTGAAGAAGATCTAACGACACTTTCACGACGGTCCTTCGGAGAATAGAACATTAACATCCAGCTCATCTTTATATACGACTTATATAGGGTGATCTTAGTGATAGTTTTTGTCAGATTAACATATTATTATTTAGAAGGTATACTAATAATTAAAACGAAACAGTAAAATTTAAGTAAAGAAATGTTTAAATATATACGTTTTAAGTCACATGGAAAAAAACGATTACTGCGATATTTTAACTTTCTAAATTTAACTTTGTATACTTACATAAAAATAATTTCCAATGTCAAGTTTTTTAGAAAATTCATGATA